TGAAAGTCAAATAGTACATTGGAAAATGAAATTAAACATAACGAAGAGCAAATTAATAATGTATATAGCAACCAATCTTAGAAATGACAATAAAGATATATAAGTGCTACATAGCTTTGCCAGAATAATTTGGGTCCCAATTCAAGCCAGTGTTACACAAGAACAAATGAGAATGAAATCAACATGCTGAATGGAAATGATTTGTTCATCTTCTAGAGCAGGTTTGCTTTATGGGTAGCCACCCTGTTAGGGATATACAAATGGTTTTATAATGAGTTTTTGATGTTGATATGTAGATTGAGGTATTTGCCAGGGGTTTCGATTGTGAGCTGTATATTAGATGAATTTGGATATTGTCCTGAGGACATGAAGTCCAAGAGAGATCACTCTCAGATGCTTAGATGCCTTTCTAAGTATGGACTTATTGTGAGCAGTCTGGTATTGTGATTTTATCTTGAGGGCATTCCATCTGATAGGCTGTAAATTGCTGGTGGATCAGAGGTGGTTTGGGAAATGTTTGACCTGGCTAGAGAGTGATTGAGACAGTATGAAGAATAAAGTTAAGAGGAAGTATCTGATCTCTTATAATTTTCCCATAGCTTTTACTTTTTACCACTGACAACAATGAAAGAACTAGCAGTCAAGAAATATACTACATTTGCACTCAGCAGGAGAGCAAATTTAAGTCTTTCAAAAAGGTACTTGGATGCTACGATTGTCCGGCTCAGAGTTCACTCTGAGGCTGTCAGCTCAGAATATGCCTCGCAGCAAGTCAGCTGGCCACTTCACCTTATCTCTGTTGCTGCTGTTTCTGCTTGTGTGCTGGCAGATGGCTTTGGAATAACTCAGCTGAGGATGGATTCTGCAACAACTACGGTGATGGAGGATGGATTTTGAAACAACTGCGGGGCTGCTGGAAATGGCTTTTTTCATGTATTGATGTGGTGCATATTGTTAAAGGGGGTTGGGGCACATATAGGTGGTAATTAAGCCTTAGGTTAAAACATGGTGAAGGTGGCACCAGGTGGGGATCAGTTAGTGGTGGTTGGAATTGGATAGGGATATAGACATGTTATAGGGTTAATAGCATTTAGAGATAATGGGTTAGGCATGGCCAGAATTAGAACTGCTATAGGCCTGGGTGTGGTGTGGTGTGTCTCATGATAATGGTAATAAAAGGAAAGGGAGCGAACTCAAACCCAACTCTAACCTTGCCTGGCTTTTAGCCTTTCTTGTCAGAGAAGAGTATTGGTTGTTTGCTGAGCTAATGAATAAACCACCATTGTACTACAAAGGAGTTAAGAGTTTGTATTCATTTCAGGACAAATCTTCAATACTCAAGGACTGGCTGAGAATGATGTGCCTTTATCTACAACTTTAGAAATAATTCACTCTATGATATGCTTTTGCTATGAAAGCAAAAGATTTTTAAGAAGTAGGACAGGAAGAATATTGATGTTTTTGAACTTTGGGGTTGGAGAAGACACCCAATAGCCAAGAAAACAAAACAAAATCCAAATCATACCAGAATTCTCACTTGAGGCAGAAATGACTCATCTCAAAATATATCCCGTACATATTACATGAAGACCCAATTAACTTGAGAAATTTATAATGCAGTAAAAAGTGGAAAGAATGACCACCAACAAAGTGGATGTTGATTACAATAGGGGCACCACTGGAAGATCTGAGAACCACACTGGGGAGACCAAGCTTTATCTTGGAGGAGGTCTGTTATCAGCTGTGTATAATTCACTATCTTAAGCCTGTTCACTTTACTTTCAAAAATGAAATTTTCATTAGTGTTGTTTGGGAAAAGAAAGGCCAAATCTTTAAAAATTTCACTCCCTTGTTAGTGAATTAGCAACAAAGTAATCCTTGCATTCTGTCTCAAGTGGACCTGATCTATGGAGAAGTACAGGAAAACCCCAAGGAAGTAAAATAAAATCCAGTCACAACACTGTATCCTCCATTAAGTTTAATAAGTGGTTGCAGCTCCCATCAAAGTTATTACATTGCCAAAATACACTTTCCAGTTAAAATACCTTGGGCAAAGTAATTTTATGTTGTCTGGTTCAATTCTTCCTTGACTATCCAGTTCACTGTGTGCTGTATTGTACTTCCAGAGTAATATAGTTAGTACAGCTTTCCCCTTATTTGGCAAGTTCCAGAACTGATAAGACAACTGAACTAGTATTCCCTGTGGTTAGGAATTCTGGAAGTTTGACACCAGGGGTGTCAAATTGGATTTCTTCCGAGGGTCGTATCAGCATCCTCGGTGGGCCAGCTGGGGATGAGGGTGGCAGACAGGATGGAAACCTCCTGCAGCACTCTGCTGGCCAAAAAAGGGCAGCAGGGGCCACACACAGCCCCCCATGCCCCATTTTGGCCAGCAGAAGCACCACAGGCCAGTCCTTTGATATTTCCAGGCTGGCCCTGCGGGCCAGATCTAAGCACCCCACAGGCTGAGCCCGGCCCAAGGGCCTTGAGTTTGACACCCCTACACCAATACATCTGGTTTGGGAAAACTGCATAAATAACTCATGCTACTGTTTCTTAGACTATTGATGTCTTATTTCTATCCCTGCTTCCCCTCAGATACATCAGCTTTTCAGACCTTCATAAAACTAATATTTGCGCTTTTCCTGGCAAACTTTAAATACTGATGCACTCCTAAACAGTCGATGAGTTAGGTAATTACCACACAGGTCACTCAGGGAAAGAGAACCCTGGCTTCAGATGTTCCTGAATCACTCAACTTCTGTTCCCATAATTACTCGACACTGACTGGAATGATCAGAACTGCTAGGTACTGTAATTCATTTAACTCTAGAAAGCTACAAGTTCCATATCCATACTATAGTCAATAATCAAACATTCAACATAATCATTAAGATATACAGCAAACCTGATTCACAACGGTGTGCAATGGAAGTCCAGTGTTTTCTAGGAAATTATTGGAAGGAATCTTGCATTATTTTGCAAAGCAGCAAACAAAACAATTAGAACAAAATGTCTTCCTTAGACCAGACTAAGCATAATACTTCTCCACTGTTGGATGAATATGTTTGGCATTATCTGAAGAACTGCTATTTCCTAGGGTAACTAAGAGTAACATGACTCTTCCTGTTTCACTGTCAGAATCAAAAGGAGCATTTTAAAAAAAAAATTAAGCTTCCTTAATTACAGGAAGAGAAGCATATCGGTTGTTTGAACACAAACCCAGCAGCATTCAGCTTGAGAGCGCATTGTTATCCTATATACAGAGATGAAGGATGAGAGTGCTGTTCTCCTGCTTGCCTAATTTATAGCTTCTCTAATTTTGCCAAATCTTTTTTTGAATGCCATCTATACATTTTATCATTTTAGCATATTTAAATACAATAACTATTATCAAAGCTTCATTATTTAAAATAAAAGGACTTTACCCGAACTTGACTGTATATGGAATTCAACTATTTAGTTTCAGCCAATTTTAAGATAAACCAATAGAAAATACAGTCCAGCCTCGAAAAGACTTTAGATTCTTGGCCAATGCTTTGAAACTTCAACAATTTTAGCTTTACTGACCCAAGTTTTCTAAAGTAAAGCATATGAATCACCCGCTTCCCATATTTAGAATAATTATTTCAACTTGACTTTCCCCAAGACAGCTTTTTTTTAAAAAAAAAAAAAACCTTAAAAGGGCTGCTTTTCAATTTTGAATGTTGGGAATGGAAAGATATTGCATCAACGGAGTTCCTGTAATTATGTGAAATGCAGTTTATTATGGCTGGTAAACTCTTTGGGATGGGTGAGCAAGTAAGCAAAAAATAAGCTACAGTTTGATTAAGTAACATGTCAACTAGGCTTAGAGTTTGTCCTAAGCGAATTGAAGTTAGATAGAACTGCTGTGTCTGTATTAATATAATGGGAATTGACTCAAAATATAGTATTATGATTATATTTGTAGCCATGTAAGTTACTTTTTATCAAGTTATATGGTGGATTCCCCCATAGAGATACATGGAACTCTTTTAAGTTTTAACTTTTCAAGCTCAGTACTATATTTGGTTCAACTGGAAGTTTTCCTGTAATTTTAATAAACATGTTTATTCAAGTCTTTGTAGACTGCTATATTGGATATATTATAAACTCTACTAAAGATAACTTGTCTGGAAAAGTATGAGGAGCTGGTTATTAACCTAGAAACATCATTTTTTAGGTATTTGTTATTACCCAATTTCCCTACCACCCCCTCATGTTTTAGAATAGATTTTGGAAACTTTTTTCTGTATTATTCTTCCTTGGCAGCTCTTATAAAGGGTTCTATCAAACCCAATATCATGTACTAAATTCCTTTGTGAAAGTCACACAAAGACATGATAACAGTCTCCTGCTATTGAAGGTATTTATATGGACAATAAATCTGAAAGGAGAATGTATCAGGTAACAACTGAAAAAGGAGTTCCCAACCCCAAGTGCTATTTAACTTAATATATTCAAACTGAGCAGCCAAACTATATCCTGCATGGTACTTGGAGACCATTTTTCATTGTTGCACTAAGATATAGCCCAACTTACTCATGGCAAAAATACCAAATTTAACTTTCACAAACCATAGACAATTGCATACAACTGTGGAAGGGGGATCCTATAATCCAGCCACAAATACTTCAATCTGAAAATAAGAAAATCACTGAACAATGTACCGTAAATTAGCAGCCAAGCAATATTGTAAACCACTGAATTATGAGATAATTAAAGCTAGGCAAAAATTGCCCATTTGTATTTTCATCTCTCCTTTTGAGTATTCTGGAAGTTATTTACTATCTTGCTATTAATATAAAGTTTGTTACTTACAGGTTTACTGAAAAAAGGAACTAAAAAGTAGTATTTTTATTTGCTGTTATTTACACAAGAAGGAGAAAAAAGAAACTCAATTATTCTATTGATAAGATACAGAACACATAAAGAATTTACTCTGTTTCTCATCAAAATGCAAAACTCCAACTGGGCTATTTTCTTCCTGGAAGTTTACTTACATTTATAAAGACAGTTTTGGCTTGTTAACCAACTACATTTTGAATAATTATTAGCATTACTTATGAAGATGGATAGAATCTCTTTTCTCATCAACCATCAATTGCCTTCCAAAGATCCCAACAATACAAAAATGCACATTTATTTTCTTCTGATACATTTATCAAGGTTTCAGTTGAGGTGAACAGAGATACTCTATTCTGACCTGTCTGTGTTAGAATCAGACAGCTATACAAGAATTTCTTCACAGAAGTGTTTTAGGATATATTACAAAATTAGAACTGCATCAAATCTCCAGCCTTCCCCCCCACACACACATTTTTCCTATTTTACAATTTCCTTCCTCCTATTTTGCCAGTTCTTTTGCTTAACATGTATGGAATTAATAATGTGTTCTATTTTGTAACCCTGGGATTTTTTCAAAAAGTAAAAGTATTATTCTACTTCTGATTTTTGTTTAAATTGCCAAGAACAGCCATTATTTCTGTTGATTTCTACCAGTCTTTTTTCAAGTCTATTCCCTACAGTAGTGCTTCTTATTCCTGGTAACTTTAAGATTTGTGGACTTTAACTCCTAAAACTCACACATCTTAAAAGTTGCCAAGGCTGAGAAACACAGCCCTAAAAAACTCAATATTCAACTGAGTCCCACAACTAAAATAAGTTACTATATATACAGGGAAATTTACAGCTGAAATCTCAATAGGGATCTATGTGATTAGTTGCTCTGTCACACACTGATGAATGCGACAAGAAAATGTCATGAATTGATGGAGAAACTATCAGGACAATACGCTTCATGTTTCACAACTTTAATAGAATATTCTAACTATTCTGTACAAATTGAAAACACAGTATTAAGTTACAAATGTATAAGATAAGGCTGGAGCACTCTCTACATGCCTGGTAACAGCATTCACACAATTGGTAATGAAGTGTTGCCATAAGCTGGCATTGTATGTTTAAGAAAGGCGAAACTGTATTCTGAATATTCTTCGGAAGGATTCTGGAGCTTTAAAAAACATGAAAATGTGGAATGGAGTGACTTGATATTGCAAATAAACATCAGAACTATGCACCCAGGATGTATTTATATTTTTCCAATTATATGATATAGCTTTCACAGGTCCAAATTGGATCATCTTCCAATTTATCCAGAACATTATTTTCCACATTTGTGTGTAGTTTCACTTTATTTTTTGTTTATTGGAAGCCATACTTTGCTCTGTCCTCTGAATTCCAATCCTGTAATTTGCATTTGATGGCTAAATCATCACCAAGACCAACTGCACTTGGCTTAAAGGTTGAATACAAATTACAAAATGTTGGTTCAGCTATTACATCAAACTCTAGTCTGTTCTTACGGTTGAAGGAAGATTAAAAGTGAAGTTGTACCCAACAGTGGAGAACAAGCATATAAAGTTGCAGCTTATGTCCAAGCTTCAAACCTTTGTCTGCCGAGCATAACTAAGGCAAACCAGGGATATATACTTAAAGTGCTGCAACCTTCTCAACATAGCGAGCCCACATCAGGCTTGTTGTTTTGAAATGTCTGAGAAGCAATCATTTTCTTGAGTAAAGTATGAGTTTTTCACATACAAGTACCCATAGTTTATAAACAGGATTCTCTTCAAGTATTTTAAAACTATTAAAAGTACTAGTTCACCAAAGTACTTAAAAATTAATAAATAAGGTGAACAACTAAATGTTTCTCAACCACTCCTTTCTTCAAAGATAAAGGAAATGTTATTTTCCATTTAAAATTAGTGGAAATGACAATGTTTTAAGGTACTCTGTAGCGCTAATCTGTCTGAATGGCTACAGGAGATTTATTTTAAAGGGAAAAGATCTACCAGAAGGCATATTGCTTTATTTGTTTTTACTGTATTTTATTAATTTAATAGTCTAAATATTCCTATTCCATAATATTTTGACAAAAACTTACCATGTGTTGAGGGTAAGTTTTTCAAAAAGGCAAATTATTTTTTTTAATTTAATGGAAAAGCCTACAGAGACAGTTGAGCTAAATTGTACCAAAGGCTGTAGAGTGTGCTTTAATTAAACCTCATATTTCTCAAATGCATTAAGTTGCCACTGTACAAGTTAAGCAAAAATAAGAAAAGAATTAGTGAAAATCATGCATTTGAAAACAATTTAGTTTAAGCATTGTTAATAAGATTGTGCTGCAGTAATGGAATTTCCTGAACTGCAGGCCAGGTATCCAAATATTGTTACAGGCTGTTCAAATATCACTCTGAAGTGGTATTTCCTTATTGTTGTTTGCATTCAGCAGGTTGACTGGCATCTTTCTGTTTAAAAATGAAAAGAAAAAAGAAAGAGATTTATGCAAAAGATACTTCAATACTGAATTTAATTCAACATTACATTTAGTTTTGTATTCATAACCAATACCAGAACTAAGATATGAAAATGTTTATTTGTAAAGTAATATTCAATATATTGTGCTTTGAGGGATGTAGATTATTCTTTATCCTAAAGGCAAGACAACCAGTTATTAAAGCTGTTCAGTGTTTTGGACCTAAAGTTTAAAAGATGCTTAGGAATCAATTGCACTCTAAATGTCGTATCTTTTTTTGCAAATTTCAAAGCATGTCTTTTCTCAGGATTACAATCAGAGAAGTGTTTTGTCTTCAAATTTGAAGCACTGCTTATTAGTTACCCCTATATTTTAAAATATAATGGATAACAATAATGGATAACAATAAAGGTGTACCATCCTTTTTCTTACAGTGGCTAGGGGCTCACTTATTCTTTTTAGTAACTGGTACAACAATCTGCGTTTTTACATTTTTACACCATTCCACCCTAAGATTTGGAATAAATAAATGGATGAATATCATTCAATGCCGCTTGATCCAGACCAACAATATCACACTTTCAGATCATTGTTCAGAGAGGAGTCTTTCTTGGTTAAAAAAAAAAAAAAAAAAAACCACCACAACCCTATTTTTTAAGGTACTAGTCTCAAAGAAACTTTTAAATTCCACCAAGATACAATCGGAATATCTCTCAAAAAAAGAAATAAAAACATAACCCCCGTTTTAAGAAAAAGCAAAATACCATAGGATCACATAAGAGTTTACTATCAGGGGCAAGCCCTGTAGAAAATACTGAAGAAAGAGAAAAAAAGGGAGAGTAATGTGAGAAGTAGTTTTTTATATCTACAATAAAGGATAAATTGAAACAAAAGGATCCTTTGTAGGCTATCCAAATTGTGCATGAATACAGGTATCCCTGTTCTGCATAGTTTATTAAAGACAATTACAAAGAATCTTTAGTAAATGTTCCATTATTTTTAAAATTGCTTAAAAAAAAAAGTTCTAAAGGAAAACCCAAGAGTTTTTTTTTTAATTAAAATATGAACAACCCATTTAAAGCCTTTCCTATACACCCCTGAATGGATAATGCAGAGGTTTAATAGTTATCATACTACCGAATGCACTGTATGCAATGCACTGGGGGAATGAACCTTAAATCCAATGTCTTCTCTGCTTGCAAATTTCCCTGCTGACTTTCTGGGGAAGCTAGCAAAGAAGATTTTCAAATGGCGATCACATGATCACAGAGCAACCAGTCATAAATACAAACAGATTACCAAGCGCCTGAAAAACAGTCATATGATGGGACAGTGCAACATTTTATAACGGCTGGAAGCGCTTTACATCCACCCACACCAAAGCAATCATGACTGTCACTGACATTAAATGGCTAGCTATAAGTTGAGGAATACCTATATAGCATTTTCAGCTATGAGGAATATTGTTAAATGAACAAAACTGTTGAAGTAAAGTAAATTATGGAAACTCCAGAAAAAAAATATACACTAGAACTGCCAAAAAGCTGGTCAGATCTGCAAAACAAAACCCAGAGATCATTGCAAAAGGCCTTCTGAAAAGTTAAGCTAATACTACAGTAATCGTTCACAGGTCCATGGTACAGTACTGCTTTTGTAACGATCATCTGCAATGGAAAGCTGGTAGAAATTACTCTTTCTTCTGATCTCAACATCACTGCCTAATCTAATGCACGCACACACAAATACTCTGAAATAAAAATTGAACTGTTCGGCCATAACCACACAATATACATTTGTGGAAAAATGATAGAGCATATGAGGAACATGATGGCTATTTTGAAAGGTAACAATTTAAAATACACTTTCAAAGTGTTTAAGAACGCTTATAGAAAACAGTTTTTAAAGTAGCCTTTATGGTTTAAACTTTGGTATCCCTACATGAAGTTCTTAAATTTATAATATATGTAAAATAAAGTAAAACATTTTCAAGCAAGGATTCTGCAAGGAAGAGTGGAAGAAAAATTCCAAAAGCAAGGGAAAAAAACTTCCTACAACTTGTGACTTTCTTGATATTTGTCTGATAATTGTTAAAAGCTCAACTCATATCACTTATATTTCTAATAAAAACAATTATTTTAATTTTGATGGCTATTTAAGCATTCTCTTGTTTTGCATTCCATTCACCAACAATACATTTGAACAGTAGCAAATCTAAATCAAATCATTTTGACAGGATAGAAGTACAGTAAGTTTGTGTAATTTTTTTGGGTTAAAGATTAAGATTACACAAATGTAATACAGCATATTTATTGCTTAAAAAGGGATCATGAAAAAGGCAAGTACAGGTAGTCCTTGACTTACAACCATTGGTTCACTAGCCGTTACACAGCACTGAAAAAAATGCCTTATGATAGTTTTTCACATTTACAACCATTGCAGCTTCCAGTGATCAAAACTCAGAAGTTTGGTAACTTCACGCAATCATCTTTTGCAACCTTCTGATAAGCAAAGTTAATAGGAAGCCAGATTCACTTTACAACCATGCTACTAACTCAACAACTGCATTGATTCATTAACTTAACAGCTGTGGCAACTGTAAAATGGGGCAAAACTCACTTAGTAACTGCCTTGCTTTAGCAACAGAAATTTTGGGCTCAATTGTGATTATACATCAAGGACTACTAGTAATATATAATGCTGTTTCCAAGTGATTGAATATTTTATTCAGAGAAGAATTACTCTAATTCCTATTTTCTTATATCGTTGCTGTTGAGTGGTGCACAAAACCTGACATTTTTGCTATTAGAAATGTTTCCTATGTAGGTCATGGAACATTTATCAATCATGTGTAGCAGCTTCTTAGAAGCAAGATTTTTATTCAAAATATCCCCAATGGAGAGAGCAAAACTGTATGTACACTCTACAGCACAATAATCCATATTAAGGCTACTTTGGGAACAAAAACAAACCTAACAATATGATGATATTTTAGCCACTTTACTAGATAAGGATAAATAGGGAATATCTAGTTTAAGAGTAAGAAAAGCAGTAACTGAATATTCATAATTCAGGAAATAAAAAGAGTACCGAAGAAGCATAGAGGATATGATTATTATGTAGCTTCTAAATTAAATGAAGAGTTATTAACAATGCTGAAACAAGACATTACAACAGTCACTAACACTAGAAAATAGAATCCTAGGTTTTTCTACAGTAGTGCAGGGCAATCTCAAGTGAGCATCTTATTCCAGAGGCAAGATGAGGTTACCAAGTTAGGATATTGAAATATCTGCAAGAAAACAAGCAAGATCAGAAAGCACCAAGGACCCTCATATCAACCTTAAGCTACAAACATCCTCCTTTATTAGTACTCAGAAAATTATTTTTAAGTTTCAGAACCAAAATAATTGTTGGTTGCACTGTCTGACTAAAAGGGTAGAAATATTCTTGGGAAATAACAGGCTGGCAAATTCTAAAGTATAATAATTCAAGAACGTATTTAAGGTCTCAAACACCTCATATGTCCAATTGGTCTTGAAGGGAGGTGTCTGATTGGAGTCCAATGAAGACAGAGGAGATTGGGCAGTTCTTGCCCTCTTGTCCCTATGGAGTCTTTCTTTACCTCATGTTGGGAATATGGGTAGGAAGCATTTGAGAGAGAAGAGAGATGGGGAGTGGCACTGCATTCCCCCTTTCCTATTTTCAGGCTGTCTCTGCTTGAGAATCCCAAGGTAGGTTTTTCACCTTTCTCCATCACCACAGGAGTGGATGGATAGAAGGGAAGGGAAAAGACTGCGACCTAATGGAAAATCGCTGATTGCACCTAGAGGTTTCCACCATGCAGAATGATGTGAGTCCTTGGGGAGATATTACCAGGCAACTGCTTCAGTGGAAGGCATTTTATTTCATTTACACAGAATTAAATTGCATACATAAGGGCTAATGAATCAACCCTTAAACAATTTACAGGTAAAACAGTGATTTCTGAATCTTTCAATAATTTCCTTTCAAAGGAATACCTACTACATTATGCACAAGATCTTCTGACATGGATAATAAACTTTTAGCTTAAGTAACATCTTCCAGAACTTCTTCAAGTACTTCTAAAACTCAAATGTTGTGAAAACAGGGAGGAAGTAAAATATTCTAAAACAAGAAGTCAGATATAGATGATATGAACATCTGAGGAAGAAAAACAGTTTAAGAGAAGAGCTGATCAAGTTAATGGCTTATTCTGGAGAAAGACCCCACAGAAGCAAATAGTTAAAAGATTAAACAATTTCAAATACTGCAATGGTCTTCAATAAAATTTATCTGGAATAACCAGAGTAAAAATTTGGGCTATATGTCTATCTACCTACTTTTCACAAAGAGAACGTTTTTCAGCTGAAAAAACAGTTTCTGTTAAGACCATCAGTTATTGATGAAAAAATGACGAATTTCAAATCAAAATACCAGCTTAATAAAAGATATTTAAATGCAAATGACAACTATTTTGATACATTAATAGCATCAAAGAGAAGGAAATTAAACCAATCTAAATGCACAAAGTAATGTTTAAATAGATGTTACTAATTTAGCATAGATGACACTCTTTTTAAATGTCAAGGCTAAATCACACTGAGTTTGGAACAATATCTTCTAATGAGTTGCAAATACTGAAAACATACCAAAATGTAGCTGGTAGTTTTAAATCACTGAAGCCTACACAAAGAACCAACCAACACTCACACACACACACACACACACACACACACACATACATACATGAACACCCCGATACAGTAACAAATACATTCTAGAATGTACTTTTTGAATGAAATAATGTTGACCCCCCCAAATATATCATTCCAAAGTTGTGATGTCACTGAAAGCATTTCAACACTGCAACAGGCCACCACAACCTTAATAGAAACAATCTGATCTTGAAACAGATTATTCCATCTGTAAGAGTAAACAGCTCAATATTGAATACCTAAGTAGTTAGGTTGGAACATTTCTTTTTAGATTGTATCTGGACATTTGAGAAGACATATCTAAATAAATATTAATTTCCCCTAATGGTCATTATCTACAATTTAAGAGTCACATCTATTTTATGTATTTTTTTCAACATTAACCAAGTCTTTGTGGACTTAATTATATACTATCTTGATAAAGTACCATTTCTTTCTATAGAATAGGTGAATGACACAAATTAGGTACTTAAATGAATGAAATTTGCATGGGTTCAAAAAAAGGGGGGGAGGGGGGAGCCTTGGAAGTTAGGTATTAATGGAATTCAACCTTACCTATAAATGAATGAATGAATGATAAACAGACTTAAATTACACCTAAACGGGAAAAATTGAAACGAACTGTCAGCAAAAAAGAAAGATGAAATGGACCCAAATAAACAAAAGTAAAAAGCAGTAACTAGTATTCCAGAAGGCACAAAAAAACAATTTGTCACATACAATCACTCATAGAAATAAGCGTATTTTCCATTTTTTCTAACCAAAGATGTTAACACTTGCCTGCAATGCATTTCATTTTCAATTCAGTAACTATCACATCATTACTATAACAGTTATACAATAGTCATGAAACTTTATCTCTAAGCCATGTGTACAATTGTGCCAAGTGTACAGGTCATATGTTCAAATCAACATGTACAAAATTCAAAACCAATTTTCACATGAAAATATTTGCATATTTTACTTTTATTTTAATATAGATCTCTGGTCAATGTATTGCAGATAACCAGCTATCAGTGTAAGTAAAACTAGTTTGAGAACTGATGACAAGGAGGATTCTTTCCATGCTGTAATTTTAAAAATGGGGCAGGAAGTGAAAAGGAAAGGAAAGGAAGGAAAGGAAAGGAAAGGAAAGGAAAGGAAAAGGAGAAACACTTTATGAATTATTTCATCTCACCTACATGACTAAAATGTTCATTCAAGAGAAAAAGATCACATAGGAATACCACATAACAATTACATCACTATAAATATCCCTGTAATTGTATATGTGGAATTTATTAAGTGTCATCTGCAAATTAAGAATTCCTTTTTAGGCGAGTAGGAAAAAAATGAAATGAATAAAGCAAATTTTGGTATTTTAGAATGAAAAACAATAGAAACACAAAAGCAAATGGCATAAAATGGACAAATATATTTCAAATCTGCAAAGCTTTTAAATAAGCAGGCATATGCTAAAATATATTTCTAAGTTGATAAAAATATATGTATACAAGACAAACAGAATTTGCTATTTATAATGTATGCCATGTTATAAAACTATTAATTTGTCAGGTTAAAGAAAATGAAATGAACTAGTATTAGCTTAGTAATAACAAGGAAAAAGTGAGAACGTATTCATTTGAATGAATAATGAACAAAAAAATTGGGCCATTTTTAAAATTAACCAATTATTAATTTTAGAATTAGTAGAATGTATGTGGCATGTGGTGCAATTTATAATTTTGGCTTAATATAAGTATTTCAACAGAGCCTACCTTAGGTTCACTTTCTGCATCTTCCTCTTCTCCTTCTTCTTCCCCTTCTAATTCCTAGATTTTAAAAGAAAGGACTGGGATAAGTATGCTTTTTTTTTTTGACAACCAAGACTTTGACATAATTATGCACATTATTTCATCCATTTTTTAAATTGATGATTCTTACTAATCACAAAGACCAGAAACATGTGTCCACTTGCTTTGTAATATTAAATGCATCTGTTATCAATTGGATCTTCCTGTCTTTTCAGAGAAAGGAATATCAGTCTCTATTATAAGTTAATGGCATCATTTAGCTGGAATGATGGTACTAGATTCTTTTGTTTACAAAGTTTGCCAAGCAAGCTTGTTATCCTGAGGCAATCTGATTGCTAAAGGTCTCTGTAACTTTTGAAAAGATTTGAGATCAAAGAGGGTTTTCAAGTAAGGAAACTGGTAAAGGCCATGAAATGTGAATGCTGGGTTTTGAGAAGATGTGATAAACACAAGCCAATCTTTGTACTGAAACTGATGATATAGACTATTTAACATTTCCTTTAGCTATTCTGACAAGAAAGAATATTTTTTGAGTATTTCATTCTTTTTAAAAGTAGTAGAAATAAGTAAGTAACAGTAAGATGAGACTAAACCAGCATCTTTCTAAGAATGAACACATTTCAGGTAATTTTATCCTTCTTTTCTCATGAATGATCATGAATATTTTTACTTTCTCAACTGTTACTAGTAATTCTGGTAAGATTTTCAAAATGATCAGTTCTGTCTACAAAGAAAAGTGCTTGAAATGAGCGGACTGTTTCTTCAATGTTGCAGAGATAAAGTCAGCAAGTCTTGTCTTTGGAAATTCTCCTGCATCAAAGTTTGACAGAGGAATAAATATTGCAGAAGTTTCTTGTGGCTGAAGAAGCTACAGCAGCTTACTTACAAATAAATTCATAACACATACCCTCCAAAATAATATGGCTAGTGATAAACATCCATCACACCCTATACTTGAAGTCTCAGAAATCAGAAGAAAGAAGTAACAACAAGCAGAAGGGGGGACAGCAGGATATTCCTTTTATCAATAATTAATTTGTTTAAAAATGAAGAAAAGGGGTGGAGGATGGGAAATAGAAAAATCTCTGCTCTGACCTATCTCTGCTCTGTATAAATGAAAGAAATAATAAGCAATTAAGAAATGATCTACAAAAAAAGGGAATGTGAATCAGGTCATATGGTTTCTGTCTTTTGAGAAGTAGAAGACAAGATCTACAGAATATCTACCACTGAACTAAGATCTAAGCTATTTGTTACTGGGAATTAATAAATATAGGATTGTTCTAACTTCAGCCTACTTTCTGCTTTCCTAACTAGCTTTCACTTACGTTTGGGAGTAACGTTTTCAGAATTGCACTTAACTTCTTTTTAATGTAATTGTAAAATAAAAAATGTGATTTTCAAGAATTCTAGTTCTGTAACTCCTCTAGCTTCCCTTTGAACTAGACTGTCTTTTAAATATAGACACAATAGCCAATTTGTTATTGCTGACTTTTGATACTGAGGTATTCCATCTGGGTCAATACTTATAGACATGCAAAACAGAAAATTAAGGTTAATATAAAACCTTAGTTTTCCAATCACTGTTCTAAAATGTACCTTCTTGATTATTCAGCCTACAGTATTTATTATGTATTCCACTGAACGAAATATATTAGACCATAATATACTCACCTCTTCTTCTCCTTCCTCTCCTTCTTCAAACTAATTAAAAGGATGGAGTAGAGAGTAGGGAGGGGTGAGAAACTCACTTAGATATTAATTTACACTCATTACACTTATTAGCATTTATATGAATATTTGAACCATATTTTTTTCCAAATCCACCTATATACATGACAGTTTAAAATGTATCAGACTAATATCTGCATCCACATACTGAACAATTAAATATAACTTTCTACATTCCCATAATTATTTCAGAGAAGATGAATTGATAACTTATTCTAAATATAGCAAGGTACTTTCAATAGACGTGAACATTTTTTTATTTCAATATTCATTGCAAATTTCTATGAGGTTTTCGTAAATGTTCAATTGACTATCTCAAAAAGCCTTTAAGCAAGGCTGAACCTAATATTTGAATACCAGGCAGGGAAGCTGGATAAAACATGGAAGGAGGTAATCATTTCCCTGTTATTACCAAGAAAACCAGATGGGCTAAGTAGCCAGGATCTGGGATGAGTTCAACTCAATTCTCTACTTTTTACTTCACTGTACTTAAATATAATATTAAAGATCTGAACAAACATTCCTGCTTGAGCAGAGGGTTGTCATTCTGTATTTTGCATAATCTATCTTTTTTATGTTTGTAAAGCTACAAAAAGGAACATTTGTCAAACAAACAGCAAAACTGTGTGCAATATTTTCTTTAAGATAGGATAATACACTGAACAAAAGAGTAGCTGGGAAGTTCTCGGTCTCATATCACCCCCACAGTGGTAAGTTCAGTGAACAGCACTATATAAGCTACTATCTTTTCAGAGTAAGCATTTCTACACACATTTGTTATGGTAATAACAACATACTGGTAGAACTGTTGTTAGAATTATTATTATGCTGGACATTGAAACTTAAGTGCTATTTAAATATTACAGCAATTACTGGAAATGATTTAGTCTTCTTTATATATTAGGGTCCAAAGGGGGAGGCACACACTGACTCAATTTCTTGTATACAGGTCCTTGTCCTTGTTCACCTCAGGTATTATTGAATGATTGCATGTTAATAGCAATTGTAGTGGTAATAAAATGCATCTAGTCAAATGCATGAATGTATCTATTTATAGCATGGATTTTGTTCTTCCATGAGTCTAATATAACAGGAAAGACGTGAAATAAAATAACACACCGTAACTTTTTCTTATTCTATGAATATTCCTGTTTTACAGCCAGCTGTATTTTGTGTAGTATAACTAATAAAAAAGCAGAGTCTGCACAAATCTCAATTTTTGTTTCCAAATGATGTTCCATCATTCATGCCTGCTAAGTAAACAAAATCCTTACTAGGAAATTTTTGAGGAAAGTATTGCCCACCTAGTTTACTTACAAGATGCAGGACTCACATATAGTGGAGAAATTACCAACTTTGAACTAATATTATTAATCTTGACTTTAAAGCTTTGAATTTTCTTTTCTAAGCAGCAAAAATATTATTAAAAGCAAGTACAATGTCTCTATGCAAAACTAATACATACAAACAAATAAACCTGAAATAATTGTGAGACACATACATTATCATCATCTTCTATAGCTTCTCCAGTGAAATAGAGTACAGCACGGGGCACTATTCTTTCACGGAAGAAGTGCCCAACTTCAAAATCTATGGCTAAAGTACACTCTGAATCTTCATCCTGCAAAATTAAAAGAAATTATGTGTCTGTATAACTACATCTATCTTATCATCAAAAATAATTTAAAATGAATAATAGAAATGAAATTGAAGTATTCTGTAAGCTATAGATATGCATTTCTACTAATTTACAACTGCTAAAAAAGAGAATTCTGATTTATAGAAAAGTTGTCTGTTTCCCAAACTAGTACTAAGTAATATCAACATTTTATTAGAAAGACATTTTTATATACGTAAACCTGTTTTTGAAGCAAAAAAATAGTGTAAACAATTACTGAACAGCTTTGGAGAGCAAGATTACATAAAGCTTAGAGACCAAATACCAGAGAAAAAATAATAAATAGAAAGCCATCATTGAATTGATTAGACTTTATGCAACATTGTTAATATCTAATATGAACAATCAAATGTGAAGCTATAAAGCTGAACTCATTATTTTTTTTTTTTTTTCATATAAATTTTATTGAATTTACAATTAAAAAAATAACACAACAACATTACATAAGAAACAGAGAGAGAAAAAGAAGAAAGAAAGAAGAGAAAGAGAGAGGAAAAAAAAAAAAAAAAAAAACGCTCGGTCTTGCGACCGAAAAAGGAGAAGAAGTATAAAAGAGAGAAAAACAAAAAACAAAAAAACAAAGAGACGGAAGAAAAAAGAAAATACGTTAAAACCAGACAAATATTCTTTTTGACAGTCTACAAGATCCAATTCTCCTACCTTACTTTAAATATACACATCTTATCGCTATTTATGGATATTTATGCTTATTTATGCTCATTAAACAGTTTATCTCTGATATAACCAATTATACCATGCATTCCAATTATTATCAAATGCTGAAGACTCTTTATTTTTAAGAGCTATGGTTAAATTGTCCATTTCTGCGCAGTCACATATTTTCTGAATGACCAATTGATCTGTAGGTAAACGGGATGATTTCCAGCACTGGGCAAATGCTAATCTGGCCGCAGTTAGAATATGAATTATTATGTATTTCGTCTTTTTAGGAAAATGTTTATCAGAGATCCCTAGTAGGAAGAACTCTGGTTTGTATTCAATTTGATCTTTGGTTATCTCCTCCAGCCATTTTCTAATTTTTTGCCAGTATTTCTGGGCTTCTTTACAGGTCCACCACATATGAAAGTAGGTTCCCTCTATGTTTTTACATTTCCAACATTTTGGACTAGAGTTTGGGTTCATTTTCGCTAACCTCGAAGGGGGTAAGTGCCATCTATATAACATTTTATACATATTTTCTTTGTACGCCGCAGATTTCGTAATCTTAATGATTCTATTCCAGATCTTTTCCCATTCTGTTAATGTAATGCTTCTTCCAATATTCCTACTCCACATTATCATGTTCCCTTTCACTATCTCTTGCTCTAATTCTACCTCCAATAAATATTTATAAAATTTAGAAATATTCTTTTTATTTGATCCTAATAAGATTTTATCTAAGTGTTGTCATTTGCTATAAATTCCAAACTCTTTGATATCTTGTTTGTATCTACTATGGATTTGTATATATAACCACTGATCAATTTTAAATCCCTGTTCCTGTAAGTCCTGTCGAGTTCTTAGTTTCCCTAAAGGATCTAATAAATCTTTATATTTAGTCATTTTTGTTATATCCAAATTGTTGGGATGAACCATTGCCTCCATTGTTGAAAGCCAAATCGGAATTTTTAAATAATGTTTTTTACATATTTTTTTCCAATTAGTTAATAGTGAATCTCTAATAAGATGTCTATGAAAGTACGCCTGTTTAGTTTTCCCCACATCCCATAGAAATGCGTGCCATCCTCTCTGAAGGTCGTGCCCTTCCAAGGCTAGATGAACTCATTATTTTTAAAAATGAAATAAAACTTACCAGTGATTCTCCATCTCCTGAAACTACAGGGGGAAAAAACACAAATGTACCGTAAATAGTTTATAAAGCAATTTTTGTGTTTCAAATACTAACATGTATAGTATTTATATGAATAGACAGATTTTTAAAAAAATCCAAAGTATGTTCTAGTATAGTGCCTTTGTGAAGGGACAAATAGAAATCCAATATAGTGTCACTCCCTTTGTTTCCTAAACCAGTAGTTTAAGCATGAAACAGTTTAAGCATGGAGTCAGAAAAACGGTGCAAAAGAAAACTGCAAAACATGGATGGTTTGGGGTGATGAATAAGTTTGTATGGCACTAATATTTACATAATTAAAAAGAAAGAGATGTATGTTAAAATTTATATTTCCATGTAGATGAGAGTCAAAGGACATTTAATAATAAATAGCATTGTTAAAATGCAATACTCTACTAGTTATCTCATTAATATCATATCATATGATATCATATCATATATCTTAAAGGAATTTTTCAACATTATCCATACCCCTATAGGGATGGTACTATGGAATCTTCTTTCTTATTTGCATTCACTATGATGAGAATCATAAGAAGAAATTCACAACATTGCGGTAACTTTATTTTCATTTTGCTTGGTTAGTAAAATATAGCTCTCCTGACAAGAAAAATCTGTGGTAACGAATATTCAAACTGTTTTTTCAAGTTTTGTTGTGTCTTTTCCTAGTTCAGAGCCATGTTTCACATAGATTAAATAACATTTTTGCATTGCAATTTACTAAGAAGAGACATCATGTGGAAAAACTAGAATCTAACAAGTAGGAACTATTATGTTGTTAATTCCACTTCTTAATTTTTTAGGTTATTGAGAGTGATTTTATGACCTCTAGAAAACATTGCAAGTATCTCATCCAGGTTAACTACATCATGGTCAAAATTAAATACCCATTCTGAGCTGGAGACTTATTTCTGCAACATTTTGCTAGTTCCAACTTGCTTTGATTCTCAATACTAAATCTTTACACAGTCTACTCAAACCTGAAAATATTCCAACAAGAAATAAAATCCATTCAATTGTTTTGCTCATATTTGTGACATGGAAAAAGTTCAGTATTATAAAACAAGGGCAGAATAAATTGAATCAATGTTACCTTTAATTGGACTGAAGAAATTAAAAAATGAGTCATTAGGTACTTGTTTAGTAATTGTTCTGACAGTGCCTCGACCCTTATGTTTCTGTTTCTTCTTTATTGTTTTTACTGTAACATTTTTTCCTTTCTTCCAATCAATAGTGCATCTGGAGATGAATTAAAATTATATATCAGTAACATTAAAGAAACAAATTTATTGCTCAGGCTAATATTAGCCATGATAATAACACCCTTCCCTTGCACTATAACAGTATTAGCTATCTCCAAATACTTATGAAAGAATATGAAAGGAGGTAACAATGGTAACATAAAGAGGCATTAAGAAAATTTCAGATTTCTATATCATTAAACCACAATACTGAAAATAAAATGATAATATGAAGATGACATTTTAACTGATAAATTCTGAAAATGCAATAAGCAGGTAATAAAGAAACTTCAGAATGTTTCATAGGCAGTAATGTTTGCAATACAAATAATTTGAAATAATCAAATTACTGCTTAAAATACTGGAAAATTTCTGAATTTCAGACAGGAAATTTTCTAGTCCTGTGTGGAAATGCTAGAGACCAAACTTGAAATATTTTTTTCATCAAAAGCATGATCCTGCCACTGAGCTAAAACTCATAACTAGATTTGAATTTTTTAATAACTCTTGAAACTGTTGCTTGTAGCAAAGAGATCTCTCCGATACTTCTCTTTTCTACTTTGTTGGGTCATCTCCATTGACAGTCTTCTTGTCAGCTTCCCATACAAGCAAAGTGAATGGGAAGCCAGCAAGGCCATGGGATAACTCTTGTAAGTCAATCTCACCCCCTTCTCCACTGAGAAGCCCAGCTACAGCCGGATTACTCATACCTCCCAGATTGCATGTCTGCAACACCTAACCACATTCAGTAACGGCCACCACCACCCCGCCCAGCCACACTTGCTCCACTCACACACCCAGTAGCAACTGCTTCCTACCTGGGCACACTGGTGCCGCAGCAGCCACCTCAACGCCCTCCCACGTTTGGGAGCAACCAACACCACCCAGCTGTGTTTGTGCTGTGCCACCTGTCGTTGGGAGCAACTAACCCCTAGCTGGCTGCTCTCAAGCCACAGAATTCACTGACCTACCCACTGGCCTGCCTGTGAGCTGCCCAGGGCTTACAACTTCCTGCCAGCTTCTCTATTGACTTGGCTTGTTTGGAAGCCTGGAGGAAGCTGTGAGGAGGTCCTTCCTTAACGACAGCTATCCTTGCATAATGATAACAGGGACTGCCATCACTAAGTGATGTGATTATGTGACATCATGCGTTATGACTACATCATCTAATGATGGAAATTCCAGTCACAATTACTCTTATTAAACAAAGAACAACTTTTTAAGCAGGTGCAATTGTTTGCCTAAAAATACACTACAGCACAGTGCTAATAACTTTAAAAATCTTCTATGGATTTTTAGATCCTACTTGTCTGAATCACAATGATTATCAATGAACAGACCCAAATGATGTAAATATATACTACAGCACTGGGACTGAGAAAGCTTTCATTTTTATAGAGGAAGCAACTCTAAGCCTTCAAGGGTAGACCAAGAGATATGTTGGTGAATCCCTTAAAGGCAGAGAGGATGCAGTTTCAACTCTACAGAAAAAAAGGAAAAGAAAAGTCCTGTTACCACTATAAAGACCCAAAGTAAGCGGATGTTCCAGTTCAACCCTTTTGATTGCTAAAGTGTGCTATCTGCCAGGAGCAAGAATCACAAAGACAAAACTTTCCAAACTTGACCAAATTCACTGATAGTTCTCCCTGCTTACTAATCAACATGGGACAAATTATACTGCAAAGAACAACTATAATAAGACTTTAAAAAAATAAGAAATAAATTCAATACTTGGGGAGTGGGGGCTTAGTGATGTTCTCATCTTTCCTTCTAGTCCATGGAAAAATATTGGAAAAGGAAATACCAGACTGCTGACACAAGATGGGCTGTACCTCAGAAGGACTGATAAAACCATATTCAGCCAAAGAATAGAGAATTTTATCAGGAGAGCTTTAAAGTGAAACTTGTAGGGGCTGAAAACAAAACCTTTAAAACACAAACTCAAATAAAGACTTGCCTAATATACAGGGAAGGTAGGAGTCTTGCTTTAATGAAGCCTATTAAATTGCTCAAATAACAGGAGGATTGGTTCATAAAGTTAATGACCACTGTGTATAACAGTGTATAACCACTATTATTCACAGTACAAAAAGTAAATAAGGTGAGCCTGAATACCTGCTGTTTGAGGGCAAGTATATCTATAATGGATATAAGGGAAACCTAGTGAGATGACTTCCGTGAATAGTAGTCAGTAGTTAAAGATACAATTTCTTCAAAAGGTTCAGCTGGGAATAGATGATTAAAATGAGGGGCAAAAAACTAAGGGCAAAAAGCCAATGTAAGTGCGCAAAAAAGCACAGCATAAGGTAGGGTTAACAAAGAATGCCTAAGAACCATCAAAACCAACTACCTTCAGTATGTTCAAAATAAAAAAAGAATCACTGTATCAACCGCTGAATAAAGGTCACAAAACATTAACAGGTAGCAGAGGCAGAACTACTTAACTCATATTTTGACTCATCTTCTGCAACAAAAATGTTTTCTATCAAGAAATTGTGAAGAGTAGGATGAAGGGACAGGATTGAAATTTTCTGATAAAAATGTATTTGGAAAATATCTATTTATCTTTAAATACCCAAGACCAACTGAACTGCTGATGAAAGAACTGATGATCTGATATTAAAGCTTAAATATCATTTCTGAGACATCCTGACAAATTAAAGAAAGGCCATATGATTTAGAGATAGGCATTCTTTTTTTCTAAAAGGCAAAATGGAGGAACAAGGGGACTATCGATTTGTCAGTCTGACCTCAATACCTGGAAGATCTTAGGACAGGTCATAAAAGTTATGGAGTATTCACCAATGATTTTTCATCAAATCGGAGAAATATATTGAGTGGAGTACCATAAAGATCAGTCAAAAGTGCTATATTCTTCACCATTTGTATTGTTGATTTGGATGAACAGGTGAAGTGAGCATGCATAGGGGGTGCCTTCTGGGTGCTGGCACGTAAGTGCAAGCGTGCAAGTGCGAGCACAATTTTTGGCACAGGAACCCAAAAAGATTAGCCACCACTGGACTAGGTAAATGCTGGTAGTAAGAAAGAAGCAATAATAAATGCAATTTTTCACTTTTGAAACAAAAGTCAGATGTGCAGACATATGATGGAGGAGACTTGTTACGGTATGAAAGAGATCCTAAGATAGTGGTGGCTAACCTTTTTGGGCTCCTGTGCCGAAAATAAAAAATATTCCTTTTCAACTCTATGTTTCTGTCTTAAAAGCTATTCTTTTAGAACTGATTGATGTAAATTCATTCCAAAATGCTTGTATATCCAACCTTATTAGTAATAACCATTACCATTTCCTTCTCAATCACTCGTTCTGTCTGGCAGAATAATTTGCCCTATTTTATAGTGATCACATTATGATACAATCTGATTAAAATCTAAACAGTTCTTTAAAACATTTCCTTACCCCTCACAATCAACAATTTCAGGACCCTCGAATGAAAATGGATCCGTCTTATCTGGTTCGGATTTCATCTTGTAGGTTTTTGTCAGAATTGAGTTAGTAAAGTAGTCATTGGGTTCGAAGTGAAACTCTAATGTAAAAGACTAAAAGAAGTTCATTATTGTTCCAAAGATCACAATTTTCTGGCAGATAATAAAGAAAACAATACATTGTGAGTTCAAGAGAATATCTGAATTGACAATCCGCAGCATGTGAGATGAATAGGAACAGAAGATTATCAACTTACTCTTAAAAAGGCATAGTTCATATAGGCAAGATATACAAACATATATGAAAATTTTATAAGGGTTATGCAAACTTTGCAAACATATTCTTTAGACTGGGCAGTATGTATCATAAAAAATCACTTTTTGAAATGCTAAAGCATTATAATTCACATGGAACGTTTAGAACATGTTCCTCGTTGTTTCTCCTATTGTGTGCTTGCACTGTCCTTTGTGTAGCTATGACAAAATGTAGTCTCTCTGCATGCATATACCTGAAGATACACCACATGGCAGATCCTAAAGTGTATGTATAAACCTGAAAAAAGTTTAGTATTTTGAAAAGAGATACTTCACCTTGCTACCTAGTATTCTGAAACATTCCTACTTAAAAAATTGCAAAGTCCTAATAATTTATTATCTAGTAATTGCAACTGAACAAATATTACAAAACAGGTAATGATTACTTCCACTGATAATTCCCAAACCATGTTACATTTTAATAATATTCATCTACCTTTGTGGGACTTATTAATACCAAACATTTATAAAACAGGTAATATTGAATTACAATGTAAACATGGGCAGGTTATTCTTCCAAGCCAGGGGTGTCAAACTCGATTTCACTGAGGACTGCATCAGGGTTGTGTTTGACCTCAGGGGGCGGGGGTGGGCATTGCCAGCTCGATGTCACTCCTGTCGGGGGCACTCGTGGTGGCACAAGCGCTCTGCCAGCAATGGGCTCCCGAGCTCCATTTTCGCCTACAACAGCCTCCTACAACCCTATGCCAGTGAAAATGGAGCTCAGGAGGGCTGCCCTCCTGAGCTCCATTTTCACTGGCACAGGGTTGCAGGAGGCTGTCGCAGCTGAAAACAGAGCTTGGGAACCCATTTTTGCTGGAAGCACCGCTGGCTGGTCCTTCATTGTTTCCAGGGTGATCCCAGACCTAAGTACCCTGTGGGCCAAATCCGGCCCCTGGGCCTTGAGTTTGACACCCCTGTTCTAAGCAATCAATAATGAACCACTCAACTATCAATTGTTTTTATCACTAAAGGCTACATTAATAAAAAGACCTTAAATACATTTCAACAGACACCTGATGTTTTTAATTTTTAATTATGTAATATCTTGACTACTTCTAATTTATTTGTTACGCAAAATGCTATGAAGCTTTGTTATAAAAATACAGCATGACTACATAGTAATTTTATTGTTTCAAAACAAGATTATTTAATTACAGAATATTTATTTCAGCAGTTATTGTATATAGAATACTTAATAGGTCTACATCATTATTGAAATGTTTTGCTACAACAAATAACATGGGAAATATCTGTCCTGTCTGTTTATGAGAATACAAGTAAAAGACGTTCAAATGGTATGTTTGGTTTTTAAGATAGTCTTCATTACATAACAGTAGCAGTAGGTGGTGTTATTGTGGCACTATACTTAAGAATTGTTCCAATATAGCAGGATCTTTGAAAATAGAGCTGAGAAACTCATATTTTGTATGTGACAACCTAATATAATAAAATAAAACTTGAAAGCTTCCATATAAAATTATTAACTACCAAATTATATTAATATTTAAAGTTAATCAGTACTAACCATAGGCTGTCCTGGCTCAGAAAATTTCACTTTAATGTCTTGCAGGTATTTTAGAATAGGTTCATCATATTCCTAACAAAAGAATAGAAAATCTATTATCAAAATTAAATAAATGGATTATATTTCAATAGAACAACAAACTATGCAAATATTCAGTTTTGATTTTTTAACTTTTAAATCAAATAATTTCTAAATAAAAAGCAAAAGGCTAAGAATTTGATAGTTACCAACACTCACATAGTAAATAGACATTTACAAAATATTTTGACCTAAGGTATTCTATATTCTAACCAGGGGTGTCAAACTGGATTTCTTCTAGGGCCTGATCAGCATTGTAGTTCTCTAAGGGGCAGATTGGGGTGGGGGAGGGAGAAGGGACAGACACGTCCTGCAGCACTCTGCCGACCAAAAACGGGCCAGAGGGAGGCCTCATGTGGCCGGCAGAGTATTGCACGAGGCCATGGAGGCTGAAAATGGGCCGCGGCAGGAGGGGGGGAGAATGCGAGGCCCTCCATACCCTATTTTGGCCAGGAGTCACTGCAGGCTGGTCCTTTGATATTTCCAGGCTGGCCCCATGGGCCAGATCTAAGCATCCCAGGGCTGCATCCAGCCCACGAGCCTGAGTTGGACACCCCTGTTCTAAACATTTCCATTGCTAAATGCTTTGGAAGTGCTCTGAACATAAAAGTTGTTTTTGGTTCAGAGCACTTCGAAAATGCTCAAAATTGACTTACACACACACAATGGTAGAGTTGGGAGAGACCTCAAATGTCATCTAGTCCAACCCCCTGCCTAAGGAGAAGACCCTCACAGAATCACTCTTTGATGATGAAATATTTGAAATAAAATGTTCTATGCTAAAGTACTAGGTGAATTTCCCAAACAGAAGTTTTTATCTGTACTGTTAGCAAAACAGTATGTAAATTCTACCACATATTCATATGTACCTCAGATGTTGTACCCGTACCCAAATGCTAAGACTGAATATGACAGATTAGTCAGAGATGGAATCAAATAAAAAACTGGCTCCAGCAAGTATTAATAAAAAGTAATTTATATAAGCAGTGCTTATATTTGGGGAGATAATACAAAAACAAAAAAACCAAACCATGCAGTTTGCATTATCTCAAAAAAATTCTATTTATTCTAGAACAGAAGTCCCCACCCCTGGACTATTAGAAACCAGGTCACACAGCTGGAGATGAGTGGCAGGCGAGCAAGTGAAACTGACACCCCCTCCCCCGCCAGTCCATGGAAAAATTGTCTTCCACAAAACCTGTCCCTGGTGCCAAAAAGGTTGGGAACTGCTGCTCTAGAACATAGAACCATAATTGTATTTCTTGCTACTAAGAGGGAAAGGCTGCAATACTATATTTGGAAAAAAACTTTTCCATAAAAATATTTGCCAGATTTACTAAAGATGTTATAAGCTTATTTCATATAATTATAATTGATACTACATAGAAGTACAATATTGAACATTTTATTTTCCTTCTCCTAAGTTTATAAAAGGGAATGATCACTGTAAAATCATCACTAAATGCAAATAAATTTGAAGAGTTCTTTAAATGCTGAGGAAAATGTTGAAATATTTTCAAAATTAAGCAACGTTCATTCTCCATTAAAAGTAGACTGAAATGAAGGCACTTCCTATTCTTAGGAAAAATATAATACGTAGGCTCAGCATACAAGCACAAAATTTTACAGGCAGTCCTTACTTAATGACTGGTTGCTTAATGACTTTCAAAGTTACAGTGCCCTTGGAAAGTGTGTTTCATGCCCTGTAAAGCATTCCCAATATTGCACACATACCCCCTGGTCACATGATCATGATCTGTGTGTTCGGCAACCTGTTCACACTTAACAGCTACCATGTGTCATGTGATCATATGATCATCATTTGCAATCTTCTCTGCTGGCCTAGAAAGTCAATGGGGAAGTTAGCAGACAAGGTTGCAAACCGCTACTGCTTGCCAAGAGAATATCCTTTCATCTCAGAGAACTGGCTGAAAGAGTTCCTTGTTGATCCTGGTCTGCAGCCGAAATCCAAGCAGGAGCAGACCTTGAAATCCTTCTCTCCTTGACTCTGCAGAACTCTCTGAAGAAGTAGACAGAGAAGGATCCCAAGCTCCATGCATCTCAGCTGCTGAAATTCAAGCAAGCAGAGCTCAAAATCCCCTTCCCTCACCTCCATGCTGCTCCACTGTCCACAGAGGCAGGAAGAGAAGGATCTCAAGCTCCACCCCAACCTGAATTTCAGCCGCTGAAAAATGACATTTCCAAACCAGTGAACCCAAGAAAGATGCTTAAGAAGATCAAAAATGTGGCAATTTCCAGACAACATCCATTTAATAATGCATCATGTACACCCTAATCAGAATAGCCACTGAATTTGTTACCTGTACTAATTCACTCAGCATATCTACATTTCTAAATATTGTGAACCAAAAATCTGGGATTCCTTTAGGATTTGTCTCTTCAGTTGCTCCTGCTTCTTTTTCTTCTATTACTACTTTATTTTTCAGGTCTCCCTAGAAGATACAAAAGGGCATTTATATGAGCGTGAAAATTTTATGCTGAAGCGTTTCCAAAATATTTTAAATTTAGTAGAAAAGAAAAAAATAGTTTATTTAATTCTGCACATTTAATAAGTGAAGCAAATAGATTTAACAAATAAAAAACAATTTTCTTTTAATATCATAGGAAAAGTTATGCTAATTTGCTTGATTAGTACATTCAGCAATTTGAAGGTATACAGAAAAAGTAGGTCTGTTCATTCCCATTTCTAAAAGCTGTCTCACCTTCCATATCACAATTAAAACAGAAATAAGGGTTTATTAAGAACAGCACTTGGAATTATGTAGAGCCACTCTGGACACAAACGATGAACTTGACAGAAAAATGTTAGCTCTATAGCATTAAACAGCCTTTGGTGTTCAGATATGATCTCTCTCTGTTTCTCTGAAATCTGCTCTTCTCCATCAGTTATCAGCATACCCTCTCTGTCCCCAAGTTGGGTGACTTTAAGGGGTATGTTTTTGTTGCTGTCTCTATGTGGCTGAGTATGAGTTTCATCTCCTTGCTTAGCACTATTGGAGGTTGGATGGAGGTCCCCTATGAGATGTTCTCCTGCCTTATGTTTTGGTCTTCCATATTGATTAGGCCCCTTCTTTTTTTATCTTTTGTCCTCTCTCCTGGGAATGGATTCTGGAATATTTCAAAGCAGATGAACAAAAATAGGAATGAGACATCCTAGAACACTGCTGGCAAACCTTTTCGGCACTGAGTGCCAAAATGGGCATGCGCGCACACTGGGTAGCGCCGGAACCTGGAGGAACAGCTCCCTGCCGCGCATGTGTGCGCCGGAACCTGGAAGAGCAATGAGTGACAGCTGGCATGCCATAGATTTGCCGTCACAGTCCTATAATTTTTGTGGATATCCTCAAACTTTTTTAGGGTTCCCACCTTCTGACAGAAGCAATTTGTTCTTTTACTTTCCCAACATTATGCTGGTGTAAGGAGGAGATAGGAGGTCTACTTGTGTTTTAGAACTCATACAAGTAAAATGGATCAGGCTGCTATCAGGCTTCATAGTTAGAAAGGAAGGAGCCTCCAGGGTGAGTTACTACCACTGATGCTGTCTAAATCTTGACCTACACATCTCTGCAATTTCGTTACAGGCAAAGAAATAGCCTCTATTGTTACTGGGCTGTTCTTTCAAAAGTCAGGAGCCCAGGAACTGCTACTTGTCTTATCATTATGTCGGATCCTCTCTCTTTCCCTACAAACAGCTGGTAGAAAAAGTTAAATTAGGCTATTGTTGCTGAAAGGCATATATTACTTTAATTTGGCTTTAAACTCAAGAGCTGTCATTGTCAAGTTCTTCCCACTACTTCTCTAATTCATATGTACATCTGGGATCACCATACCAGTCATTATGATTGCCTGTTTCTCCAATCCTGCACTTAAGATCTTTAGCAGTACCTATCTTGCGTGGTTTGTCACACACAAAGCTATATTCAAAGGTGGAAACGGAGTATCCTTCAAAAAGCAAAACACGCCCAAGTCTTGCCTTCTGACTAGAAGAGGCAGACTTAACCCTTCCCTATCATGCTTAGTGACCAGGAGTGGGAAATAGACCATATATGGATGAGCATAATGTACTAACCAGTTTAAAAAATATGAGTCACTTTGGTCACCCATTTTATAGCAACTAACCATTTAGACATCTGGGTGAAGCAAAGGATAAAGAGAATCATTGAGCAAATGAGAAAAAATTATGTCAAAAAATCTTGTATTAAAGATAATATTGCTACTGGTCTAAGAAACTTGCCTGAAGAGAATAGCAGCATAAATATTTGGAGAAGTACAGAAATCAACATTGAGAGCAGAGAGAATTTGACAGTATTCTGAATCAGTAGATAAATTGGTTACAAAAAAAAAGTTACTTTTAGATGCTGGAATTTTATCCTTGTTATCAGTGGGTTACTTTATTATTTTGTTTTTTATACACCATCCAACGTTGCATAACTTGAATTAGGTAGTCATGTAAATGCTACAAACAAATCTTTCTCTTCTTTTTAACCAACATGTGGGATGTATTCATGAATCATGCATTAAGCCATACATTGATGATTTAATGGGTGAACTTAGCCGTGTTGATTTGCAAACTGTAGGGAAATATTATATGCAATCAAATTACTATAATTTGTACACAAAATACAATTAACAAGATGAAACTACTTGATGTAACCCATAACAGAGACGACAGGCAGGCAAAAAAGCCTGTTTATTCTCATAACAGGTTTTATTGTAGCACTGGAATGGAACCCATTAGCAGAAAAGGCTGTCACAACAGGTTACGAACAGTGCAAATGGTACAATATTGGAATAATAAAATTAAATTTAAAACATTTGTTAACAAACTTCTTGAATAAAAGGGTTACAATTCTGAAATTACAGAAAGGGAAATCCCTCAAAAAAACACTACCATGAAAGCTGACACAAGCTCCCAATGTGTCTGCAATATAAATTAATTGGATTGTTCAATAGGAAAGTTATTTAGACTACCTCAAAATATTTTAAAGTTTATTTAGTTCCACTTACAGCTAGCTTCTCTTCATCTTCATTTTCACTGTGCCATTCTGCCTCTGCTTCAGTAGGTTCAGAATTACCAATGATGAAGTCCCTTCTCTGCACAAGTTACACAAATTATAGATACGTTATTCAACAGAGCCTAAGAATACTGCAGAAATCTGAAAACAATGATCTCTCAACTACATTTTAATGGGTTAGTAGAGGTGTGAAAACGTTTCAAGGTTGAAACATTCTGACCTCATTGCTATAACCTCACCAGGATTGATCCAACCTTAAACAGGCTACAGGTAATCCTCGACATATGGCCACAATTGGGACTAGAACTTCTGTTCCTAAATGACGCAATCATGAAGAGAGTCACACCTGCTTTTATGACCTTTTTTGCAATGGTTATTAAGCTATTCACTTGGTTAAGTGAATCGAGCTTTCCCATTGACTTTATTTGTTGGAAGTCACTGAGAAGGTCGCAATTGGTGATTATATAACCCCTGGAAACTGCAACAATTTTGAATACCTGTGGTGTCCAAGAGCCTGAATTTTGATCATGTGATTGCAAGGATACTGCAATGGTTGTAAATGTAGTAATCAATCATATATCAGTTTTTTTCAATGCCACTGTAAATTTGAGCGGTCATTAAATGACTCTTCTTTCAGACGAAGACTACTTGTATTATATCATTCTTGGAAGTTGTACCAATTCTGGAAAGTTCTAATTGTCTGTTCCAATGTTGGAATGAAGTTGGAAATGAGACTGCAAAAAGTCCATTCCAAATTCAAAAATGATCATACTGTTTCAGTCACAAAACATCTTACATACTTCTATGAATTAGTAAAAAGATCAACTACTTACACACAAAATGTTTTACTACACCCTTATAATCCCAATTTATTTTAAACAAAACAAGCAGTACATTGAACAAATTGTGATTTAGGAAATACCACAAAAAAGTATTAAGGGAACATATTGAAGACTGTTGTTACTGGTTACCTTTTTTATTTATAGCTACATGAATGTATCTAAATCTAAAACTGTTGCATTTTTTTCTTTAAAAGACAAATTAAAGAACTGAGGACTATTATTATGCATTAGTTGAATAATGCTGTAATTTACAAAGCCCAGAAGATTCATGCATACCCATAATATGGTAAAAGAATGCCAATGCAAAGAATGCCAATCAGGGGTTGCCAACCTTTTGGACCTCAGGGACCTCCAAACACATAATTTTAAATCCCGCAGACCACTAATATGAATTTTGACTGACGGTGGCTTGCTGACAGTGGTGGGAAAGTTGATCCCATATTCCAGAGCCGCAGTAGTCACAAGACTGGCCCTTTGGTCAACCCAGAGCAGCAGAAGCTGCAGAGGTCTTTCTCTCCCCCAAACTCCACCAGAAATGAGTCTTTGTGAGACTTGTCGCAATGGCACCACCTCTTGGAGCAGGATGCCTTGCAAGATCCCAAAGACTCATTTCTGGTGGAGTTTGGGGGAGAAAAAAAAAGACTTTTGCTGCTTTCTTTGCATGCAGCCAAAAGCAGAAGAAAGAAGCAGAAAGAAGCAGCTTGGTGGCCAGGCCAGGCCCATGGGCTGAGTGAGGCAAGTTACCCACCTCCGTCCCCCCCTCCCCCCCACTACGTGTTGTTCGCATTGCAAGCAATGCAAGCCTTGTGTTCCTGCACAGCCTGGATTGTTTTGGGGGGTACTTTGGGGGACATTTCTCTGCAGACCACCAAAATTTTCTTGTGAACCACCAGTGGTCCTTGGCCCATCGGTTGGCAACCACTGCTCTAAATTAGGGGTGTTAAACTCACATCTTCATGGCTGCATCACGTGACATATCGGGACTTTTTTGCCATTCGCTAAAACAGGTGTGGACATGGCCAGCACATGATGCATCCGGCCCGCAGGCTGGGAGTTTGACAGCCCTGCTCTAAGTACATGGCAAATAATCAGAGATATCTCAGAACATACAGCCTTGAGTTATATAAAAGTGACATGCCCTTGAACATATAATTAAAATTTGGAAAGGCAAAAATTTGTTTGCAATGTCTAGTCTTTTCCCTCACCAGTATTTTTAATTTAGAGGCTTACAAGCAAATTTAAAAGTTCAACTGATTCATTACCTTATCAAAAAGGGGTTGATAAAGAGCTGCATATTTTCTCTCTAAATCATGAACTTCTTCATAAAATTTAGCTTCTATATGTGCGCATTTCACCTGAAGCTGTTTCAAAGCATCAATTCTTCTTTTTACTGCTTTTGGTAAGCTGGTAATAAAAACAGTTCATTTAAAAATAGCATCAAATATTTTCATCCAATATAAATAATTTGATTTACATTAAAAATTCATGAATAATAATTGCAGAAACAACTAAAGGAAACATAAACTTTATGGCCAAATGTGAAAAAATACACCAAAACAGAATTTAAAATAAAAATCCAACATTTCTCTAGACATCTTGTAAAGTGAGTGCCTCTTCTAGCTCTTAAAAATACAAGGCATTGTTCTAAATTTCTGAGTTGTATTTCTTTGGGAAAAAAAGGGACCATAGGAAAATAAATCTATTCAATTATCAAAACACTCTACAGGGATTTCATACAAAATTAATATATGTGACCTGTGTCTTCCAATGTTAAAACAATTTTAGATAATCTAATTTATAAAAGAGTACGAATACATTTCAGAATTCTAGTTAATTTGCAACAAAGAGTATTTCAGTATTCAATATATCCAATACCAGTGTTTAACAATGTTTAAGTTAATATCAGTAAAAGGGACAAATTGCAGCAATAAGGAAGATCAAACTTAGAATACATGGAACTGTAACCTATAAATACATTAAGAATAGTGAACATATATCTGGTCACATTACTTAAAAACTGAAGAATCTGCTTTCCTTAGTCTTAGGTTTTCATTGCTATATTAAGAGAATCACTAACCATCTGAACCTCTTTTCAGGTCTGGGAAGTTTTTCATACTTACGTTTCGATATAGCTGGAAGGAGTGTGAGGTGCATTATCAAGTCGATCTTGTAAAGCTGCCAAGACTTGTGGATTCTGCATAACTTGGTCTGCTAACTTTTCTGTAAAAGCAGTACATTACCTAAATTATAAACCTTTAATGAATGTTTAAAGCCTAAATCAAAATATTGGAACACAAATAAATAAGTCCTGCTTTTAAGAAAACCTAGGGATCTAGTTATTCTCTTGTACTTTCTTCTGAATATTCTTATAGCTTTGTTCTACGCTTCTAAACCATAGCTGTATTTTTTGTAAAAGTTCACAAATATTGTTAAAATCTAAATAACAAAGGATTTCTTCAAAGAAGCAACAAAATATACACTTATTGTGTCCCAGCCTCCTCCTTCCAGAAGTCTCTTCATACCACCTCTCTGTAAACAGGATATATCCCACTGCAGATGAATATGAGAATAAGCCTAATTCAGAAAACTACTATAGGCACATACAATTACATAATTCCCCCCTGCATCAGAACTTGGATTAATGTAACTTCTGGTAATCAGTTATTCCCCTTTCCCCCCATTGTCTGAAATAAGTCTAAGCCATTTACCTTTTTTATCACCTGTGCCTTTAGCACTTTCCACAGAATCTGAGGCAGCATCTTCTGCCCTACTGTGAAAAATATTTGAGACAAATAAGAACAAATAAAATCCAAATAAAGTCATTAACCTTTAAACTATAAAAAATCATGTATATACTTGATTTCCCTGAAACAGTAATAAACTGCCAAACATTTAATTTTTATGTGCCAGTAATAAGTACAGAAGGAACATTAGAACTGGGAACATAGACTAAACCACAAATTCACATTTTCGAAGTTTCTCCACCGGTATTATTATTTTTAATTTTAAAAGTAGGCAAATATTTAAATTATGCAATTTAACAGCTGGCACAAATCCAATGAAAAGAGAATAAGCAGACCACTAGAAAATATAAACAAGTAAACACCTTATGACTACTTGATATGCTCTGGCAATTTCCTAAGCAACAAGATTTGCTTTCTATCTGTGATTAGAAGTTTGAATGCCCAAATATATTCACAAAACTATAAAATAAAAAAACATATTTAGAAAACATTTTAAAACACTTTAGAAAAAACATGTTTCAAAATGCTACAGTTAAAAAGACTGCTAAAATATAGTAATTATTGGCAGTCATACTTCCAGGAAAAAGACATTCCTCTCCTTTAGTGTTATAATTTTCAACTCTGTTGGGCTAGAAGCTGAAGATAAACAACATCAAATAACCTGACAGTAAAGCCAAGCTGGAATGATAGAAAGCATTTCTTTAAATACTTCAGTACCAAGCAATCTTAATTTTCAAAGATTAAGCTATTTGAACTGGGCTCAAAGAAACAGAGTACTGTAGTATTAAAGCTCTTTCTACATTGGCAAGGCAGAATCAAAACAAGGATATTATAAAAATTGTCACTATTGTCATTATCACATATGACAAAAGAAGTTGGAAAACTATTATAAACATGGCTAAGTATCTTTCTCCAAGAGAAACTTGGCACATCAATGATTAATTGATTTAATGGTTAAGGCATCAGGCGAGAAAGCAACAGGCCATGAGTTCAAGTCCCATCTTAAGTCATGAAAGCTAACTGGGTGACTTTGGACCAGTTACTCAGTCTCATGCCAATCCTCCTCAGAGCTGTTGTGGGGAAAATAGGACGAAGGTATGTTGGATATGTTCATTGCCTTGAGTTATTTGTAAAAGTAATAAAGGTGGGATACAAACAAACAAATATAAATGCAATTAGGGATCTACATTTCAAGTTTTCCTTTAAGATATGTAGTTGGACCTGAACTCGTTGAAAACCATTTTCAACATTGAGTCTATCAGAACTCTCATCTTGTCTCGATTAAGCTTCAGTTCATTAGTTCTTCAGACTGTTATTGAATTTATGCCTTGGATTAGCACTTCCTTAGCCTCTAGTGACCCAAATAAGAAGCTTAGCTTCATTTCAAATTCCCAGATAATATGTCCCAATAGCTTCATAGATAAAAAAAATATGAAATGTTCTGGAAGGCAATAAAAAATGTTGAATTGAAATTTCTCCCTCAATCCTCGAAAGATATCTAGTAAATACTACCCATCTCTACAAATAATCCCAATGTGCCAGTCAGTATAATCAAGGCTATTTCAATGTCAATTTAAGTCTCAAGGCAAAAGTAAAATAAGCTAACCTATTGCTTCCAAGCAATTCTGAAATTGAACACCCACAATTTATTTTGTTTTTTCTTAGGAAAGTTTCAAATAGGCCAGAATGAAAAATTTTCTCAAATATAGCCAGCCATAACAGTTAATAAAGGGTCTTTATCGCTAACAGCCAATAGTTATATAAACAGGAAATTAATTGAACTCAGGACTTTATCATATCAACTGAAAGCTTTAGATGCTTTAGATTCTCAGAAATTGATCTGCTACAATGGATTTTATCCTTGAAAAATTTTGCAAAATGTATGATATAAAAAATCAAAATTCTTTGCAATTCTCCTGTTAAAAAGAAATTAAACACCACTTAGCCATTGGAAGGTAACAAGACAGCAGTAAACGGTCTAAAAATAGTTATGGCCCATCTTCTTGGCAAGTTTCGTCAAAGTCACATATTAAGTATGAGACAGTACTATTCTAATGCATACTACAATTAAACAAGTGCTTCAGCACATGTCCCCAATACAAGAACAGAATAATCTAAGTGAAAAACGATACTACTAAAAAGATTCAGAAGCAGAAAGCTGTAATGTACAAAATCATTTGACAATCAATATTTATCATACTTCATTACACTTTCAAACATATTTTCCATAAGAAAACCATTTCCTTATACAGCTTTTGAAACAGATCTTCAAGAGCTTACCTGTTTTCTGCCATCTGTAAGATCTTTTATCCACCTGTAACACAATGCACATAGTTTAAAATATAAAATATGAAGAATGTCCATTTCAAATAAAAAGGCTTCCCAATGCAATCCATTTTCAGTAGCAGAGATAATCTTACAGAATGTCAATGAGAAATTATTTTTACCAATTTTTCCAAGCATGTAATATAGTAGAGCCTCTGGTCATGACCATAATTTGTTCCATAACTTTGGCGATAGAAATTTCTGGGTCAGGGGTTGTGTTTGATCGCCACCCGAGCATTTGTTCATGACCAGATTCAGAAATTGTACAAACATTCAGTGGACTGCTCAAATGTCTATAATACCCCTTCAAAAAGCATCAGGGGAACTGACAAAAAGCACCTAGACTCCTTACTTTCATGCAAAGAATTTCCATTAAATAGGAAGAATATGCCAGGATCTAACTATGAAATGATGTCAAAACTCAGAGGACTTGAAAAACTTAGCTCTCCCAAGCCAACATTAATATTATGACCCAGCTAGATGACAGATTGACATAAAGTTAAGTTGGACCAATATTTGCATAAAATTCCCCCCCAAAATACCAGGATTGTAGGCTATATGAGGAAGTACACCCCCCACACCCAAAAAAACGTGGAAAAAGTCAGTGCTAAATCATTTCTAGACTGAAGTTATCAGCAGCCGGGTTCAGCTTAAAGATCTAACTTTTTTTTAGTATAGTGAATCTACTCAGAAATGGTTTTGAGGAACATGCCTATGTACAAAAGGAAATATATCTATTAATTACTTTAAATTACAAACCAATCAATCTACATTATGGCTCAGCACAATATTTTTATATCTCCTCTTTTAATATAGAGTATATCTGTATCAAAGGAAATTACAATGCAAATCTGAGCATCTATTTTTAATTAAACATGGGGAATAAATAAATAAAAATATTTATTTTTAGAATAGGGAACCCAAGACTGGATGCCAGAATATACTATTGACCATAAACATTAAAAAATCCATATCTGAAAATGTAATCAGAATTGGATTACAAAATGTAGCTCAGAATTATATCTTAATGAAAATAAAACTAAAGCAACCTTATTCCAAATAGCACTTTAGTGAAAACTACTGAAATACAATATTATGAAATATTTAAATATATAATCACGAATTATTATGAAACACTATTCATATTCAATCATTACTGCACAGGGTCCCTCTGAGGAAATATGAAATGTAAATAACCATATTAAAATTTAACAATAATGTTTTAATATTCAGAAATCTTTCTAACATTCTATTAACAATTATAAAATAAGTATCTCAAATATTTTTTTCATTGTAGGTATATCATTCTTTGCAAAGAGCGAAGTTTCACTTTCATGTACATAAGTGCTATAATTTTTACAGCATTGAACTCCATTAGCCATCCATTACAAAATTCTTCCAGTTCACAGGAGATCCTGGCTAAATTCACAATTACTTTTAGGCTTTAGGATTGGAGTTTTATGACAGAGGATAACTTGAATTAAGGTTTTAAACAGTCATGTGAACAATTTTAAAAGAAGAAAACATTCAATTATTGCTGAAATGCTACGCTCAAAATTAATCATTTTATCTCAGAGCAGATATTATGGCATATTCTTTCAGCTTTTGTCTCCAATCCTGCACTGAAAAGTTATGCTGACTTCCATTTGGTCTATTTGTCTGCAACTAAAACCTTTACTAAGGACTCCTTAACACTCCTAAGCAGCTTTAGAGGAAGAACCTAAAATAATGTACTGGAGGATACCATTCTGACACTACTGTATAATCTATGTAAGTAATATTTTCCCTCTCTTGTTACAAAAGCACAATGCTCTTCAAGTTTACTCTGATGAAAGTCCCATTAAGTTTAAAATAATTTTAAATACAGCAAAATTAATCTAGAGTGTTATGGTATCCTAAAAACTTATTATTACATATGCTTTTATGGATTATCATACACATTTATACCATCTATTTGAGTTGGTATTTGGTATTTCAGCTAGCAAGTATCTGTATTTTGGAAGTGTGGCAACACAATGAAATATTTGTTATAACTACACCTAAATATCAGGGTTTGCATACTGCCAAGTCTATTTTGTGCCATTATTTTGGTTTACTACTTAGTGTCCAACTAGACGTTTCTGGGATGCTCACAAGCAGGAGGGTAAGATATATGTTTCTCTTACCACTTGTTTTCCTGACATTAGTATTGGATGCATGGTACTCCCAGTTGGGAGTTAATATGTTTTCAAGACAAAGAGTCCTATTTGTCATACTTTTTTCCAAGACTCTTTTAAAGTCATCACATCTTGTGGTACTGTATCATATAGTTCAATAATGCATTATGCATATACAGATAGTCCTCGACTTACAACAATTGAGCCCAAAATTTGTTGCTAAATGAAACATTTAAGTGATTTTTTCCTCATTTTACAACTTATCTGGCCAAGGTTAAATGAATTACTGCAGAAGTTAAGTTAATAACCCAGTTAAGTGAATCGTGTTTCCCCTTGATTCTGTTTGTCAGAATTTTGCCAAAAGATGACATGATCCTGGGACACCGCAACTGTCATAAATGAGTCAATTGCCAAGCCTCTGAATTTTGATCAGGTGACCATGGAGATGCTGCAACGGTTATAAGTGTGAGAAATGATTGTAAGTCACTTTTTTCAGTGCTGTTATAACTGAACTGTCACTAAATGAACTGCTATAAGTGAAGAACTATTTGTATTCCCTTAAAATTCTATGGAGCTTTCATTTTGAATAAGAATAGATACGATCAAGTGCACATTAAATTTACATTACTACGCTCCCAAAAAGAAGGCAGAGAAATGTTATACAAGAGTTCTTGTTCAATTAGTGTTCATGGTTATGATGGTGATGAAAAAATAATTTTATGATCAATCCTTGCATTTATGACCCTCACAGATCTAAAAAGTGAAGTCTTGGCTTAAAACTTTGTTGCTGATCCAATTATAATAACTAAAGTGGACTACTTGTACAGCACTGCAAGTATATCACAAAACAGGAAATGATGTATTAGTATTAAAGAGAAGTTGGTGTTTCTAGGAATGTAACTTAAACACATGTCTAAGAAAATAAAGTAGTATCAATGCTACAGTCATTTCCAAAAGCCCTATTTTGTAAGTTATAATCGGTTATTTCTGTATTAGAGAATTTCAGTTTGTATGACATTCAATAAAAATATTTTTACATTACACATTTAATTTTATGCAAAATTTTCCACCACATACGAATTTAATTTTAGCTAATTACTTTTATGCAATTTTATTATCTTGAGCGAACTTCTTACATTTTTCTTTCACTGGTTCCTTTCAAACTTGAGGCAACTAGGAACAAATTAGCTGAGCTTACAAAATGTGCAGCTTTTACCGAAGACTCACATCACGATGTTAAACTACTGTAGAAAATTATGGCTTCCGTTAGGGAGCTCAGAACTATAAATCCACAGGAATCAACGCCAGTGTGTGCTTTCAAGATCGGAGGAAGGAAAACGAAGAAAAACGAGAGGAAAATAATCTTAGCTTAAATATTAAAGGACCTATGTCTGGGGTGGGGGGAAACCAAGCGTATATTTTCAAGGGGAAAAACATTCGTCACATGTAGAAGGCATTATTAATTTAAAGGCAATTCCCGCGCTTGTATTTCTCCGCATAAATCTTCGACCACACTATTTAAAACCAGGTGGCCTACCCAGCTGAGCAAGAAAGCAGCAAACACATGGTCGAGAAACTGTAGCGCAGGAAGCGTAGACCAAAGGAAAAGGGACCGCCCCAAGAAGTGGAAACCAAGCCTCTTTCCTCCCACCCGCATGTGGCAACCTGGGCGAGAGTCAGACTTCCCGTCTTCTCCGCTTCTACGGTCCGGAATGGACCCCACGGCCGCTCCTTTAAAATGGTGCCCGGACTAGGACCGGACTACCTCCACCCGCTCCACCATTTAGTAGCCGGACCTGACACAGTCATAGGGGTGGCGGCGGGGGGGGGGGAATGAGCGGCCGGCCTCCCTCCCACCGGTCGTCGTCGTTCTCATCTTCCCCCACCCCCCTCCTCCAGCCGGCCAGCCTGACTATCTGCAGCAAAAGCAAAGCAAGAAGCAAAAAAAAAAAAGCCACCAACAGAGCCCTGGCCCGGCTCTTCTTCCTGCAGTCTCCCTCACTCCCTCACCTGGTCCGGCCTCCGCGTCTCCTCACGCCCGTAACACCAGCAAGCCAGGCGGATCCTCTCACAGACTCTCTCAGGGCTGCGCCGCCCCGAATAAGACCGCCTCCCATTGGCTAACGACAAGGCACCCCTCCTTCCGCAGTAAAAGCCACCTCGATTGGTGCAAGGTTAGCAGCGGTCGCCGCTCCACACGCGGGACATGTTGACTTTCCGGCAGACAGCGGATTAGCCAATTGCTGCGTCGGGAAAGTGGGAGGGAGGCAGAGGGAGGAAGAAGCGGAGAGGCTAGCGAGGTAACTTGGGCTCGCGCAAAAGCGCGAGAGAGCGGTCGCTCAAGGCGGGAGAGGGAAGCGCGCGCGCAGCCCACGCGGTAGTTAGTTAAAGGTACAGCGTCTTTTTAAAAAGACCCCGGCCGTGAGCAGTGTCTTTGGGAAAGCGAAGGTTTTGTCGCTCCGAAGCTCAGCCGATAACTTTTCTTTTGGGGCTTTTATTTGTAATGAGCATCTCCAAAGTTAGCCAGAAACATCCTACCGCTACAGGAATGTTAAATTGATTACGTCAAACACCGTGTCTGAGGGGAGGAATAACGGCTCCCGGTCTCTTCCAAAGGACCCGGTGGAAACGCCTATTTATTGGGAGGAAAACAGCTTGTTTTTTTTTATAATGCTAGGGTTTGTAGCTGCCTTGGCAGAGGTCCCGCTTTTCCCTTCAGAGTGCTACCAAACAAAATAACAGCAAAGTCACCAGCCTGATACTCTCCAGACGGGTTGGCAGAAGACGGTGGTGATTATAAGGGAGCTGGGAAAGCCTATTCGATAGAAACATTACAGACGATAAAATACAGTGTCCATTCCAGCGGGGGAAAAGTAATTCTGTTGAAACAGGTTTTGAGTGGCCAGCGTTTGCATAAATAAGAGGACGAAAAGGGGATTGCTGTATTCTTTTTCCTATCACCAATTATACCATAAATGAAGCTGAAGCTGTCACTTTAGATTTCTGACGTGGTATAATTATGCTATTTTTGTTGAGGAAAACAATGGCTTTCTTTCCCATATAATGCCTAAGGCACAATCCTGCGTGCTTTAACTCTGAGGTAAACCGTCTCAGGAGAGTCAGTTTGGTGCAGTAATTAAGATATCATGCTAGAAACCTCGAGGAGGCAGAGTTTTAGTCCTGCCTTAGGCACAAAGCAGCTGGGTCTCCTTGGGCTGGTCATTCTTTCTCAGCCTTAGGAAGAAGGCAATGGCAAACCACTTCTGAGGTATCGTATTTTTCCCTCAGAAAGAAACAAATATCTTGCTCTTCTCTGCTGTAGAATGGAAAGTTGGACAATGATAAACATGATTAGAACTCCCAGTTTAAACAGCAGTCGGTGCAGCATTTTTATGTATGCTGTGGAAAAAAGGAGAAAACCAATCTATTATGCCTCCATGGGTTCCTCTTTATAAACATATAATTTGCCTAAAGTAAAAACAAAAACCCTTTAACAATGCAAAAGGATCCCTAGTATTTAATTTGTTCAGTTCCTAGTTTTACCAGCTACAAACCAGAGTTTAGAAAGTACATACTTTAGAAAGTAAAATATCCTCAGAATTGTTTTTGCTCACCTGTATGATCCACATGCATTGTTGTTTTGTATTCATGAAACAGGGCAATCATGTATCCTTTCCTAGCTGCTTGAGATGTGCTTGCTGGCTTGCTTCTTTGTAAGGCAAGCAGCTCTGTGACATAGTCAGAAATGAACATTACTATGGCTGCTGATGTCACAAAGCAGGTGCTGGAGAATAAAAGTTATAATCATATCCATATATGCTGCGAGCAGATTTAGGAAGAGTCTATCCTAAAGAGACGTGAGGAAGACATATGGGAGAAAAATCCAATTTTGCATTAAAAACAAAATTCCAAAGTGATCCCAATGCACAGGAAATACTTCCTTAGTGTTATTGAATAGTGGATAAATTTAGTTCAGTATTCAGAACTTTTTCCCTTTCATTTTAATAATATCTTCCTGTTTTCATGTTGAAAACATGTTGATTCTCTACTAGCTCCATTCTCTATAAAGGATCTGCCTCTTTTCCTCTACCTCTTATAGGGCTGCTGCATACTAATTCCTCAAACAAGTTCAACACTAATGGTAGGTTACTTACCTATACTATCAAAACATAGGGAACTGAATAAATTAACTGGTACATGGAAGTTGTTTATACCTTAGAAGTATTTTTGCATTAACTTATTGAACTGGAGGCCCCTTTCCCCTTAAATGAGATTTCCAAGAGTCTCAAAGCAGAAACAATTTCACAAAAACACAGTATTTTTAAAAAATGAAAAAAAATACTATTCCATAAATTTAAATTGGACAAATACTAATAATTAAAAATGGTTGCCTTAGATATGGTGTTTAACTGCATTTCAAAATATATATGCCTAGGAGATCGTTCAGTTTTAATGGATATAGGCCATTTCATTTATGAAGATACTTTCTGTAAGAAAGATACTGATGGCCTTCATTGTTATGGGAAAACCTAATATCAATGACTAAGTTGTCAAAACATCAGTGATTTGAACCATAGATGTATGTATTCAAGAATGGAATTTAGTTATTTATAATGCAGATATGGTACCATATCCCAAGGCTATATCTGATTTATAAGGACCTCAGCAAAGATTATTTCCTCCTGATTCAGCCAAGTAGACAAATACTAAATCAACTGCAGTACTTTCTCTTTTTTGCTCCAAGCTTTCCAAGTTCCTTAGATTCTGCGTCAATTATTTTTTTAGAACATCATGTTTCAGGCAATTTATTTCTGAAAATTTGAACAGTAATATTTTACATTGCCTGACATTAAAGGCACGCTCATGAACATGGTACTTTATTGGCCAATTTATGAGTTTTATGTAGACATATATAAGCCATCAAGCCTAAATTGGATGCAATAAGTAGTACTAATTTCATATTATCTGAAAGTTTTGGTCAATTTAAAGCAGCCTATAATGTTGCTTGGCCAGGCCAATTCATAGGTGGTATTCAGCAGGTTCTGACCAGTTCCGGAGAATCAGTAGCATAAATTTTAAGTAGTTCAGAGGACTGGCAAATACCACCTCTGACTGGCCCCACCTCCATCTATTCTCTGCCTCCCGAGTCCCGGCTGATCAGCTGGGTCTTTTGTTGCCCTGCACAGGTGAACGAAGCTGGAAAGCAGGTTAGTGGGGTGGGGACGGAATTGGATTTTGCAGTAACCTCCTGGAGTGGGGTGGGAATGGAGATTTTACAGATCATTCCCTGCCATGCCCACCAAGCCATGCCCACAGAACGGGTAGTAAAAAAATTGAATCCCACCACTGGGCCAATTAATACAGAAAGAAGAATCAGTAATATGCTTAGAGACAGTATGGCTGAAGGTTTCTCCTGACATAGATTATTATACAGGGAGAATTCAGCAGACAACCTCTTATAGGTATTTTGACATTAAAAAGTCCAACTAAGGTTTGCCATTAGACTGCTCTAGACTGCTAAACTGATATCCAATCTGCAACTATTTGAAAGAGCCAGAAGCCCAGGAATAGGTTTCTTGCACTTTTTTGGATTTAGGAACCTGAAACACAGGCAACACATGCATCACATGCATTGAATGACCAACTAGCTACTGCAGATGAGTTGGTTCTGCAAATCTATCTAATATTTAGGATCAAAATATTGTGTAAGCCCAGCCATGAAAAGAAGATACAATTTCAAAAATGGTCTAGTTGAATGCAGTGTATGTCAGAGTTACCACTGAGAACCAAGCTATTGTCATTTCAAAACAGATCTGATCATGGTCTGGAACACCCTCTGTCTCACGTTACTGTCATGTGACGTATCAATGTTTTTTCCCTTCTCGGAGCTGGGGTGGACATGGCCTGCACATGATGCATCTGGCCCATGGCCGCCAGTTTGTCACACCTGGATTTGAATGACAGTGGCTTGGCATATTCTAGCTGGCTACATTTTTTAAAACTTACTACATCAATAGTCTCAAAATCAACAGTATTTTAAAAATAAGACAACATATTAAGCTTTAACTCACAACTAATGTATGAATCAATATAGTTATTTTTCCCTACCCCAAAGAAAAGAATTTCAGAATTGTATAGCGTATCCCTATTCATTCCTGCCTATAGCAAATTTACTGCAACTTAAATAAGAATATTGAGTACTGTAGGGTATTTTTTGCTCATGAGAATATTAATGCATTTGTATTTATATTTAGGGTTTTTTTTCTTTCCAGTATGTTTTGAAGAGTAAAGGCTAAGGATTAGAGATGATATAATGTGAATGAAGTATCATATTATTTTTTGGCGGCAAAGACTTTAGCTTTTGCTGCCAAAAAAAAATGTGATACCTCATTCACATTGCAATATATCAGAAGCTGCCGAGAGACTCAGCCTTGTGGAATATCTGTTAAGGAAAATAAATAAAAATATCTTCATTGTTTTTTAAAACACAATGTATTTACTAAAATACAAATTGTTTTGACTGATCACCTCTGAAGACAATGTAGCTTTTCATACCATCTCAACAAACAATAAACATAACCCTATTAAATAAAGGAGATGGCATTTATGAGTCCCTAGAGGGGAAAGGTGAACTGACCTTGACATGTTCAGAGGCTTGCAGTGCAGAACATAAATGTCAGCAGAAAGCACTGGGTTGTTAGTTATTTAGGAACAAGCAGTAGAGCTGAACCTACTGAGCACAGCTGAACACATCTACCTACTGAACTAATGTTCTTTTAATACATGCAACTATTTTCATAAGTACGAAAATTGTAGGTTATTGTAAGCTGGTTTGGGTGACTTTTCACATTATATTCAGATGAAACATTTAAGTATTTTACATTTCACAATTAGATTCTGTATCAAAATTTTGCAATATGTAGTGACACAATGGAATCCCTCAAAATCTATTCCTGGATATTATTGGTTCTCTGAAAACAGTTGCTGAAGGAGGAGAGATGTCTAACATAATCTGCTGCAAGATATGATTCTGTGCAACATGGTCCATTTTGAGGTCTTTGATTAGAGGTCAAGTTTATACATTTGAAGACATTTAATTTCTTTTGGCTTCTTTTACTTTTCATTATACTGCACATTGGTTAACCACGGAA